TGACTCTGTCCTCTGCATTCACACAGAGCCCAGTCATTTACCATTTCCTCCTTGCATATCTTCCAGGACTCCTGAATGTGAACCTAACAGAGAGACGTTCTTTAAATGACAGGCACTAATAATAACCTTGGAAGCTGTTGGCTTGCTTTCTCTTCCACAGCCTGCTCAGGGCTGTGGTTCATGACTGAATTCGACTGTAAAATGCTATTTTTAATGTCTTGTGTTTTACCTGGTAGTGCTGTTCTCTTGGATTGATGGAATAGGACTTACCACATCTCCATGGGTAACGATAAAACTCACATCCATCCAGCAATCACACTTATCTGGACATACTTGCTAGTGTGTATACACAAAGGCACACCCAGCACCAGCATCCACCACCACCACCAGCAACATCTCCACTACCACCACCCATCACCACCACCACCACCACCACCACCACCAGCACCTCCATCCACCATCCACCACCACCACCACCACCACCACCAGCAGCAGCAGCACCTCCATCCACCATCCACTACCACCTCCACCACCACCAGTATCACCACCACCAGCAGCAGCACCTCCATCCACCATCCACCACCATCACCAGCAGCAGCACCACCACCATCCACTACCACCTCCACCACCACCACCCGTACCACCACCACCATCCACCACCACCTCCATCCACCATCCACCACCACCAGTGCCACCACCACTACCATCACCAGCATCACCACCACCCAGCTGGGGATAGTTCTCTCTTTGAATTTGACTGCTCAGAATGTTGCAGACTCTGAGCTCACAGATAGTCATACTGTGTAAGCAGAACACCAGCCAGCCTCTAGTCATGAGAACTTCTGTGACTCTCCCACTCATTGCTTCCTTGGACCAAAGTTGGACAGAAGCTCCCTGATTCCTTTCCATCAACTCTTGTGAATAAGTATCTTGCATTTTTTTTTTTTAGCTTAAATAAGTTTGCTTTTGGGTGCAGGGTGCAGGCAACTTCAAGCTAACCTTAATTTTGTGGACTTTCTTTCTTCTCCACAAGTACCCTTTTAATAGCCCCACTTCCAGGATGGAACCTTGTTTGATGAGCAGTACTCCCAGGCTGCATCCTACCCCAGTCACTCCCCGATGGCCAGAGGTGCCGACAGCCAACACGTGCTACACAAGCCCGACCGTGCATTCCACGAGGTATGGAAACTCTAGTGACATGTACACACCCTTGACCACGCGCAGGAATTCCGAGTACGAGCACATGCAACACTTTCCTGGCTTTGCTTACATCAACGGAGAGGCCTCCACTGGATGGGCTAAGTGACTGCTTTCATAGGAATCCATATTTAATATTAATAATTAATAATAATAATAAACCCAATACCCACTCTCCAGAAGACGTTATCTCTATACATCGTAACTTGCGGGCTGTTCCTAAGCATCCATTTTCCTAATGAACAAGAGGATGTTCAACATGGGATGAAAATAGACTTTAGTTCAGAAACAGGACTTACTAAAAGTCACTGGGATTGGGTTCCTGTAGCCAAGCCAGACTTGACTGCTTCTATAGAGCACTATTGTGGGCAGGCCAATCTGTGCCTTTCCCCTCTGTTCCATGACCTTGCATGGCAACCACTCCCTGTAGGGAACTTACTTTCCTGTTGACAAAGCTCTTTAGTCTTGAAGGATGGATACTGGAGCCAGACTCTGGTTTGTGCTCTTGGATGGGCACATAATTTACCAAGAGCATTTGCCTTGCCATGAGTGTCATCTCACTGTCCAGTTAGCAGCCCTCAGCCATGTTCTCCACCTCCTACTTCCTGGTGGTGTCATCACTACTTCCTGGAGCCCTAGGGCCAAATGGAAGCTCCTGAAAATGCTAAGCAACCTGTTCCACTCATACCTGCATAGCACCTGCATTGTCTTGGAATGTAAGCACTGTTCTGAGGACCGAAGAGGCCTGTTGCATTTGCCTTTAGTTGATTGATGTCTGTAGGGACCAGTTCTTCTACGTTCAAGGATTTGTCCTACATTTGCACAATGGCTACCATCAGCAAAAGGCAGGAGAGGGGTTTCTTAAGTTCTGTGGGAAATGTGGATTTATGGCACTAAGTATCATTCTTTGCTGTGTTGCTTTGTGAAGCTGGATGGATCAAACTTTCACTTAGCAAGCACCAAGTATGAAAACAGCTGTCGTGGTTCCTTCATAAGACTAGAATACTTTCCGACACTTTGCTAGAAAAAAAAAAAATCAAAGCTGTGCCTTTGAGTCTATACTATACTGTGTATGTGTGGAAATAAAAGTGTATTGTACTTTGGGAAAATTTTTTCGTAGGTAATTTTTTTTTGTCAGATTTGTAGCTATTTGTGAGGTTTGTTAGAGATTAACATAGGTTTTCTTTCTGTATTATAAGATGCACCAAGCAATTATGGTGGACCTATTACCCTATGGGTAAGAAATAAATGGAAATATGACATCGGATGTTTTAGCAAATGTTCTGTAAATAAAATGTTTGATCACACCACCCAGTGTGATAATCATGTCTACAGCTAAAATGGAAATAGTTTCACTATCTGTACAGTTGTGCAAGATATGAATGGTTTCACACTCAAATAAAAAGTATTGAAGTGACTAGCTTCCGTTTGTTTTTCATTTGCATTGATGTGCCAGGGGTGTGTCCACGATATAAATAACATTCGTAAATTCTTGGGGCATGAGTAAGCAGAACAAAACTAAAGCCAGGCGGTGGTGGTGCACGCCTTTAATCCCAGCACTCGGGAGGCAAGAGGCAGGCAGATCTCTGTGAGTTCGAGGCCAGCCTGGTCTCCAAAGCGAGTTCCAGGAAAGGTGCAAAGCTACACAAAGAAGCCCTGTCTCAAAAAACCAAAAAACAAAAAACTAAAAGGTCTTGCTGGGTGTGGTGGGAAAGCCGAGGGTAGAGAATAGTGAGTTCAAAGCCAGCCTAGGTCTGGTCTTAAAAATAAATAAATAAATTAAATAAATAAATAAATAAATAAATAAATAAATAAAAGCAACTAAACAAACAACAAAAGCCTTGTATGACTGTGTGGTTTTGTTTATTCAGTTCCCTTTCAACTTGTCATAAAATAATAATACAGTTCGGGTAGGCCCACACATCCCGTCCTGACAAATGACCGAGGGAGTGTAGTACCTATAGCCCATTGAAGGTTTGTAGATCTGCTCTACAAACTGGGATCTGTCCTACATTTGCCTTGCAGCTCTTGCAGGAAGCATCTTCTTCAGCAGCAGCAGCATTAAGCATTCCCCTGGTACTAAATTCATCATGCTTCAGTGATCATTGGGTGTAAAGATATTCAGGTGCCTTGCTTTAAATGAGAATAAACAGAGCAGTAACGTCCCTGAATACTTAACAAGAATGGAATTCTTCTCCAGCACGGCGTTTTGATTCTGTGATGAAGGGGCGTAGGGTACAAAAGAAGTGGTTTCATTTTACCCGAATGTTAAGGATGCAGGAGCTGAGAGAGTCCGAGCCAGGAACTTCTGGAAGCCTGTACAGGAGAGACTGTGTTAACCCAGAGGTATGAGGAGGTGACAACTTCATTTGCATCTTGAAAGCTTTATTTTAAAGCCAAGCCCTTGTGTGCTATTACATAACATGTTTATACCTGAAAGATAATTTTAAGATGGAAATTATTTATGTTACACATAGCCTCCCCTTATTCTAAAAAAAAGAACACAGACGCTGGATCTCATTCTCTCACGGTAAATTAGTTTGACCTTTTGTTCACAATCCATTAGCTTTATATGATGAAAGCAAGAGAGAGGATGAATGAAATTTTGAATTTAGCCACTGTTAAGAATAAACCTCAGGATGCCGGGCCCTATTGGTCTCTCAGACTTGAAAGTGAGTGCTGTATAAACAAAGTTGTGGTATGTCTGAACTTTGACTTAATGAGCACAAAAACAAAACACAACACAACAAAAAACCCAAACAACATCAAACCACAGTCATTATCAAATTCTCTAACCAGGTAACAGGTTAAGCAGCACCCATTTACAAACAACAGCCACTAGTTCATGAGCTGCAAGGGCTCTAGGTGAAAACTTGTCAGCTTTGACGAGAACCTGAGGCTGAGAGAGAGAGAAGCAAGCGGTTCCATGACTTTCCAAGTAAGTGCATGGTCCTCACAGCATAACCAGGAATGAGTGATACTAACAAAGAAAGCAGCTTGAGATGAGTGCCAGCGGGCACAGGGCATCCTCCCCAGGAGCTAAGGGCATGATCTGTGTTCCCAAACATGCTAAAACCTTCACCCTAAGTCATGGAAAGGTTCTAACCAGGAAAGGCAACAGCGGCTGGGGGCAGGACTCAAGGTATCTTCTCTTTCTGGTGGTTCCTCTCCAGTCGGCAGAGCGGGGATGGGCCAGGCTGGCAGCTGGGAGTGGGTCCAGTCACTTGTCAAGAAAAGCAGAGAGTCCTGGCAACAGGACATTTTCTTGAAAGGGCCTCTGACAGCATGAGGCTGGCTGAAGTCATGAACATTAGTCAGGACATCACCCACGCTGCAGGTCCATGGCGTCCTCAGCTTTTGTCCTGCTGTGTCCTTTGCCAGGGCTCGAGTTATCCCACATCTAGACAGAAAGGGGACATGTGGCCTCTCGGAGAAGGCAATCCATGCAAATTGGGAATGCTTAACCACGGGGTTAAAGGCCCAAAACATTAGGGTAGCCAGTGGCTCCTTGTCATTTGACCTTGGATGTATTACTTCCATATTTTGGACCTGAAGCAGGCAAGTTAACTGGCACTGAGATTTCAGATCATGGTGTGTATGCTCAAAGACCAAGGCTAGCAGATTTGGGTAAGGAGAGGGACAGACAAATTAGATTGCATGATTCAGGGAGGCATCTCCAGCTGGTGCCAACACTCAGACTGAGGTCCGTCCCTGCAAGCTCAGCTGGTACACCTGCCTATTACCTCCAAAAACCCCACCGCTGTCTCCTATCCAATCCCGTTACCCGCCTTCCCCCACCAGGAGTCTTTTGCAATTTTCCCTCCATTCAGAACTGGCTTTGATCCATTTGCCTTGAGATCCATCAAAATGTCTGCCCTCAAGCTGGAGATGTACAGGGAGCCTTGGGACTCTGTTTCTCTCTCTGGTAGATGGCAAAACTTTAAAATATTAAACCTGGGGAAAGGGCATGACATAAAGATGCTATTATAGGCAGATGGAGAAAGGAAGAGTCGCCATGGGTCTCCAGGAGCCTAGGAGGAAAGCTCTCTGAAGTGAGAATAAAGACTTTGAAATGAGACTGGAACAAATGCGAATATGTAAATCGCCAGAAGCTTAAAAACACAAGTGATGGATATTTTTATTCGTTTATTCTTATTAAAGTGAAGCAGTGGTGAATGAGGCCGAATCCTGGTCCCACCAAAGATGAGCTAAAGCAGGGACATTCCTATTCTAGAAGGGATGTGACTTAGAGCCAACAGTCCATGTGGTACTGTAGCCTAGGCACCAGCATTTTAAAGCTCTCATATGTATTTAAGGTTGAGAAACATGACCTTTCCACCTTGAAGCTTCAAGATTCAGGGACCTACTACACCTGAAGTTCTGTTTTTGTTTGTTTGTTGTCTGTTTTTCCTACAGGGTTCCAGGGTAGCCAGAGAGGAGAGCCATTGACTATGAACAATTGGCCCTTCTCTGCAGCCTACACTGTTCTGTGTCCTCAGCAGCCAAACCTCCCCCTCTCCGTGCTGTGGACGGCCCTCCATCCACACCAGTCCCCTCTCCGTGCTGTGGATGGCCCTCCATCCACACCAGTCCCTGCCACTTTGCGCTGCTCTCCTAACCTGGAACTTCACAGCTTTGGTTCCTTGGCCACCTCTCAGGCTCAGCCAGCCTGGACGCTGTCCTCGGGGACTCCGCTTCTTCCTGGGAGGTCAGGGCCTTCTGTGCTCTGCCAGCCTCCTTCCTGGGCTCTTGTCCCACTCTCTTCCTGAACCTCAGACCCCCCTCCCCCAACACACACACACAGTTTGCTGCTGCTGCTGCTGCTGTAGGCGGGGCAGAAGACGTGGGCCACGGAGTTAAGAGCTGTTGCTAGGAGTGTGGGTGATGAGAGGTGGTGGGCGAGAACCAGGACTCCCCATCCTCCGCCTCCCTTTCTCATTAGAAACGCTTCAAGAGCTAACACCAGTTCTTTGAGATCCTTTATGAGAAAGAATCAGGTCTGACCATGACAGCAGGGGTGAGAGAAATCAGCTTCAGAAACAGCTGCCGGGCCGATGTACGGTATTTATAACAGTATAATAGAAAAGTCGGAGGAAAGTTTGAAATAAGTTCGTTCTCAAGAAACTGCCAACCTGTGCCCCTTTGAAGGTCGGTGTCCAAAAGGTCCCGACACAAGACTAACCTCTAAGAGGGCAGGAATAGATGGTGTCTTAGGGGCTGAGATGCAGTCAAGGCAAGACAATCGTTAGGAGGCTTCTGCCTCACTCTTAGCTCACACTCAGTGGTCTGTGAGAGCTCTGAAACCTACCTAGGCTATCACTTGGGGTCTGCCAGGTACCAGGCACATTAAAGACACCACATTTACACCTAATCAACTCCCTGCCTGGTCAGCGGTTACTCATTTCAGTTTACACCCTTGTTCAAGGGCACACAGCTTAAAGGACAGAACTGGGATTTGAACACCCACCCGCCAGGTCCATCTGAGCTTTCTATGACAGCACACGGCCTTCTTCCTTCCTCCCTTTGTCCCCATACTACCCTACCCTGTTCCTCCCTAAGCAGCTTTGCAGCTTTTAAATCAAGCTTGACCGGAGTAATACAACCTACTGGTGCCCAAGAGACGCTCAGAAGTTCTGGGAAACTGTGCTCATTAAACCAAGGCAGTTCCTAAGCGAGGCTCCAGATCTTCGCCTCCACCCAAGGTGGCATTCCACACACTGTACAAGAATGACAGCTTTTCCTCTGTCATTTTCCAAGGAATGCATGGCCAATACATGATCAAGGACCAAGATTTGGTCATTCTATGAAGAAACAGGAACAAAGGAAATCAATAATAATGTTTTTCTTTTCTTTTCCTTTTTTTTTTTTTTAAATCAGGTCTCAAGGGGATTTTTATTACCAGGTTGGGGAAAAAAAAGCACCACAGGGAAGGAGGAGCGCAGAGCCAAGCATTCACTAGAATGAAGTCACTGGGGTGGGGGGGGGGTAGGAGAGGCTTGGCCACCTCTTGCTGTTAAGGTCACCACCCTTTGACAGAGGTGACCTCTGACCTCCGCAACCCTACAATTCTATTTTGACTGATCCTGAAACCCATGAAATTCAGATGTAGGCCCTGCCCAAAAGTTGAGCTAAAGCTGACTAATATGGGAAAAGCTCCCGGTATGTGCCCCCAGCTGAAAGGAGCTGCCAGCTCTTTGGCCAGGGATGCAATTTATTCCGTCCTGCTCCTTTCAGAGAAATGCTAATCCTTCATAGGCAACTGGAGGGGAAGACTTAAATGTGTTGATGATGAATGACAATAATCCTTTGTCCAGTGCCGCCTCCTCCTAGGGTTGACCCTTAAGAGTTTAATCAAATGTTGGTAAGTAAATTAATGCTTTACTGCAAAAGGAGGTGCTGGGAGGAAGGGTTGTGAGAATATATTTCCTCTGACATGTGAACTTCAATACACTTAATTGCAAAGGCATTGGTTTGAGGAGGTGTTGAAAGAGTGCTTTAGATTCTTTCTTTATTTACACACACACACACACACACACACACAGTCACTTTAGACCCATACAAATCACGCATCACATTGGAGTTTTCTTTCGCTAACAAATGCAGCAGGACAGTTGGTCAGGCAGTGTGGCCTGTCCCAGCAGCAGCAGCAGGCAGTTCACAACCACCTGTAACTTAGCTCCGGTGGACCTGACACTCTCCTGAGATCCTTGGGCATCTGCATTTACATGTGCACATATATAATGTGTACCTATGCATACAAACACACATAATTAAAAATAAATCTTTAAAAAGGAGTAACAACAGCAGTAGCAGAAAAAGAAAACAAAAGTAAAAGAATAACCCAGGAAAAACTATCTTAATTCTGAAGATTCAGAATGTTATTTTAGGACACCGACTCCCCTGGCCCCTCATTTCAGTCCAACTAACACTGGGCATGGCCACTCCATGCCAAATCCCATATGCTGGCCACACGGACAGCCATCTTTTTTTAACCCTATGACATCCCACAAAGTAAGTTCATTGCAGCTGAGAAAATTAACATCCCAGGAGTGCAAGTGATGTGCCCTTAACACCCAAACAGAGTGAACATCCACGAAAGGTTTTTTGTTTTTTGTTTTTCTCTGTTGGTTTTGAGAAGGGTTTCGAGACATTTGACAAGCCATAGGCTTTTGAGACTCACAGTGAGTTGGGACTGAAGACTAGGTGTCTCCATCCCCTAGGCCAGGATACATGTCCACAGTTCTGCACTGCCACCCAAAGGGCTGGCTTCCCAAGAGGAATGTGAATGGGATTCCAAGTCAATAAGCTGCAAATAGAGCTGACCAACATTCCAGAACTTGGATAAATAAAAACTCCTGAAGGACAGGGCCCATTTCCTGTGCTAAATATGAAAACTTATTGTATCTAGCCAGTGTAGATCAATTATCTGTATGCTTGCCAATGGCTAGTGGTATAGGCTCTGAACACCGAAAAGATTACTGAGGCTGGGCATCACACATTCTGAAGTGTGCACGCCACCACATGCTTGTGGAGGTCAGAGGGCAGCCTGCAAGAGCTGCTGCTTCCTTCCTTCCCCAAGGGAGGACCCAGCCATCAAACTGGGGCACTGGACTTGGCAGCAAGTGCCTTCCCTGGCTGCGCGTCCGCCGAGCTTTCCTCCCAGCATTTCTGTCTCTCCAGGAGTCCCTACAGCACACCTCCTCTGGGAAAGCTCTCTGATTCCCGGATCTCCCCATTACTTGTTTTGATTTGTGTGATAATTATGTCCAATTTCCCTCTTATCACTAAAAAGAATTCATTTCCATCTGGTTGTTTCTTAGATCCGCAAAAGATGGGATCAATTGTTTCTACTTGATTTTATTTATTTTGTATGGAGTCTAACACAATGTGATGTTTCCAAAAAAAAAAGGAAAATATTTGTTAAAGGAACAAACTACATTAATTAGTTTGCTATGAAAGGGGGACGTCATTCTTCATTAAAAAATGAAATAAAGATAATTCATTTTGCCATTTTATTCAATTTCTCAAAAACCTTTATATTGGAGGTCACCCAAAAACTAGTTCACTGAGTCATCTTCTTTCAAAAATATTCACTCACTGGTTTTTAAATCCCAACTCTGGCTTAAATCCACTGGAAAGCTTCTGAAATGACCAATACCCAGGCCTCAGGACAGACAGACTGAGAATTCCTCATCTCTGCACATTGGTAAGCAGAGAATCGACAGGTCATTTTCACAGCCTGTCTCGTGAGTGTGCTTTTCTACCGGATGCATGCAAATACGGTTTTGTTGTATGCAGATGTAGTTTTGTTGGTTTAGAAGCACGGTCCTTTCGAACTAAGCACTAGAATAAGACCCCAGTCAATCCTGGTGCCCACACTGAAACCACTGGGTGAAGAGAGGCTGAGTGGCTGTCTCGAACAGGAGTGGTTGCCAAGTGACAGGTCCTGTCTTTGAACAACTGGAGTTTTCTGAACTCCTGTTCTGGAACTACAGTTACCAGGCTGAGCTGTCTAATTTCTAAATTTCTGCCTCTAAGGGAAATGGCCGAAGAAGTATGGCACCTGGAGTGTAAGGGTTGGTTGTCAGGGCTGTCGTGCCAGGAGCCCCTTCAAGGCTTTCAGTGGCACATTCCAAATACCCTGTTGTCGTGGCAAGAGGAAATTCTACAGCAGGATATATAAAGTCCCGAGTAAAAATAAATAAATAAATAAATGACTAGTATCTGTTTTTAGGCCTTTTCATTGGTCCCAACTCAAAAGGCCACGAATCTTGAAATCAGAATACAGAGCACACCCATCCCTTAGCTTAACCAGCAGATTTGTTCATCTATGAGCAAGATAATCAACACCCAAACTTCTCTTTTCTTTATAACAAAAGATGGTGCCTGTCCTATTGACCTTACATTTTCCTGCTATTGTAAAGGTTAAGTCAGATGATTTATGTGGAAATATTTTGAAAATAGCAAAGCTCTATATATGTATTTGCACGGAAGCTTTGTGTTAGTATCTCTCAAAAGTAATGGCTTTTAAGTGTTTGTCGCTTTGATTACCAAAGTTCTACATCCTAATAATTTCTTGGTATCATGCCACCTATACAATCAGACAAACTAGATTACGTGCTAGACTAGAGTTTCCAGTCACTGAAAGTATCACATGACCAGTATTTAGGGAGGTGAAGTGATGTAGTAGTCTAGTCTAGGCTCTGTCCCAGAGTCTGCTTTAACTATTGACTTTGGACAAGTCACATCATTTTTTCTGGGACTAGAGTCTCATCAGTGGTTAAAGAACAACTTGAGTTAGAGTCGAAGATAATTTGATTCATAAAATTAGAATATAAACACTTAATTAAAGTTACTAAAATATAATTTCTCAAGCTACTAATTCATGTAAGTCCACATTTTTCTATTTACTCTGAGAAACACAGAATTGGAGCCTAAAAAAATAGCCTATTTCTGCCAAACCAACATTTCAAAGATGTGTAGGAGCCCCCATTTTTTTTTTCTAGACAGGGTTTCTCTATGTAGTTTTGGTGCCTGTCCTGAGTCTTACTCTGTAGACCAGGCTGGCCTTGAACTCACAGAGATCCACCTGGCTCTGCCTCCCGAGTGCTGGGATTAAAGGCGTGGCCACCACAGCCCGGCAAAACCCCCTGCCCCCTTTTTTTTGAAAGAAAAAAATCTTTAGTAGGATACTTTCTTCTTGTTAATATTCTCTTCTGGAGACCTTTGGCTCCTCTACTGGCTAGTTTTATGTCAACTTGACACAAGTTAGAGTCATCAGAGAAGAAGCAGCCTCAACTGAGAAAATGCCGCCATAAGATCCAGCTGTAAGGCATTTTCTGAACTAGTGATTCTTGGGGGAGTCCCCAGCCCGTGGTGGGTAGTGCCATCCATGGGCAGGTGTTCCCGGGTTCTATAAGAAAGCAGGCTGAGCAAGCCACGGAAAGCAAGCCAATAAGCAACATCCTCCATGGCCTCTACATCGGTTCCTGCCTCCAGATTCCTGCCCTGACTTCCTTTGGTGATGAACAGTGATGTGGAAGTTTAAGTCAAATTAAATTTTTTTTTCCCCAAATAGCTTTTTGGTCATGGTATTTCATTGCATCAATAGAAACCCTAACTAAGCCATTCCCAAATAAATAATTACCCAAATAGGACTTCATGAAGTACTGGACAGCTTTCATTTGGATTTCCAGTTTGTTACTTAATTTACCTGGACCTGTTCTCTATTAAATAGGAACAATCCTTTGTCAATGATCCAGTAAGTGCCGTTTCAATGACCCATTTAAATCATGGGTAGTAAATGTCTGTAGACGTAAAAAATGGCTACCTATTTTAATCTTAGGGCTGTAGTTTACAAGACTTTTCTTATAAGTATTCTCCTTTGAGAGTCAGATTAAAATTTTTCTGACCTAATTTACAGATATTACAGATACATACTTTGGATCTGAACTATCTGGGCCTATTTGTTAAAGGCTTGGCCCCCAATTCGTGGCCCATTTGTTAAAGGCTTGGCCCCCAATTCATGGCCCATTTGTTAAAGGCTTGGTCCCCAATGCATGGCACTGTTGGGAGGTGGTGAGACATTAAAATCTAAACAAAAGGAGTCAGGTCTACAGCAGCATGCTGTTGGGGGGATATTGAATCCTAGCTCCCTTCTGGATCTTTGCTTTCCAGCTGCTATGAGGTGAGCAGCTTCCTCTGCCATGCCCTGCCAGGGAGCCATGATGCACCACCTGGCCACAGGCAACGGCACAAAGGAACCACAGACACAAACTACATCTATGTCCTTCCCTTCACTGATTGGCTTCAACATTTGTCTCAATAACAAAAGGTCAACAATTTCCTGCTCTTTAATGATTGGTTCAACTGTATGCTCAATAAAATGCTGGCTCCATTTGAAGTACAAACTGCAGGAAATCTTGGGGTCCATGGGCCCAGCTTCTGTGTTGTTTAATTCTAAACTCCCAATATCTACCACAGTATAACAGAAACCCAAGAAAACGAATCACCATTTGCCAGCTCCCCTTCCTCTTCAGCAAAGCTGAGAAGGCAAACAGGGAAGACACCAAAGATGATTACTTGGCGGTAAAACGCTTGACATTTTCTTGCAGAATTCTTCTATTTTCTATGAAAAAGCCTGGGATCACAGAACAGGCTCCAACTCCAAACTTAATTTTAAAACTATGCATTTTAATTTTTCAAGACTGATCATTTTAAAATAAGAACAGGAGGGCCGTTGATGGCGATGTTCAGGAGAACGGACCTCTTGGTGAGGTTGAGACTTGCTTTGAGGGTTGCTGTATTGGATAATGCCCAGAAACGCACAGGTTCTCAAATACTGGTTGAATTTTTGAGGAATTAAGCAAATACAGGTGAAGTGTGAGTGCCTGGCAAAGAACTAACACTCGGCAAACATGCCCCTCGGTCGTCACCACTGCCCTCATTCCTACTCTGTATGACACTGACGGGTGGGTGGAGAGTGGCCACCTTTGGGAAGGACCTGGATTCAAATCTCTACTTTCTCATTTACTAACGCCTGGGACTTAGGCCAAATTGCTTTATCAGTTTGGGTTCCACAAAGAACTATGTGCAATTTCCCACGTTGCTGCAGCCTAGTGGTAACACAGCCGCAGCCAGACGAGAATTCCATTCACCGAAACCGCTAACTGAGCATAGAGGGAACTCAACCGGCGCTTGACAGCTCCCACCAGGGGCCGGCAGTTTCGCCAGCGCTAGTCGGTCCAACCAGCCACGTCTGGTGCAGGTCAGCAAAGGAAAAAAAAAAAAAAAAAACAAAAAACCAGCCAGAACACGGCTTTGACCCTCCCACTAACGGTCCCTCCTCCTCTGGCCCCAGGCGGTCGCAGGACTCTGGTTTCCGGCCTTCGGAGGACTACAATTTCCAGTATGCCCTTGGTGGGAAGTCTTTCTCGATGGATGACTACCAATCCCGGCATGACATTCGGCTCACTAATAACTCCGAGGACAGCGTGGGATGACCCCGTTGTACGCCGGGAATTGTAGTTTAGTAGCCGTGGGCTGGCAGATGGGTGGGGAACAGCCCGCCAGTTCTTGTCCGCTAAGGGGAATGATTCATAGAGTGTCAGGAGGGACAGTTCTGCTTGTGAAAGGCCAGTACGAAGCTGAACTCTTCTCCAAGGCTGGTAGGCCGAGGAGAGTAGGCAGGGGCTGGGCCTGACCCGGTCCCTGGCGGCTCGTCAGGCCTCCGCCGAGCCCTGGGCCTTGCAGGGGGAGGCCTCGAGGCGCCGGTTGCTGGGGGAGCGGTGACGTCTCGGGGTGAAAGTTGAGGGGCGGTGACGTACGGCTGCCCGGGCGGAGGCTGGCGGGTTGGAGACTGGAGGGAGGGAGGGAAGGAGGGAAGGAAGGAAGCTGGGAAGGAGCGAGGTAGCGGGGGCGCGAGGCGTTTACCTGGGAGGCAGCGGCTGGGGCGCGCACAGCGGCCGCGGCTCCCCCGCACCTGCGGCCATGGATGAAGAGCGCGCCCTCTACATCGTCCGGGCCGGCGAGGCGGGGGCTATCGAGCGGGTCCTGAGGGATTACAGCGACAAGGTAAAGAGCTCTGGCCCCGGGCGTTCGCTGTCTCGCCCCGGGCCGCCCTCAGGGCTTGCACTTCGCATCCTCCCCACCCCCCCACCCCCTCATTCCGGGGATGCGCATTGCTCTCCCCCGAAAACGTTTCCGGCTTGGGCATGCGTGTTTGTGCCCCCAGCCTTTCCCACCCGTGCATCCTGCATCTCTGCCCCCTCCCGCACCCCCCCCCCCAACTGTAGTGCCCACTCCTCCGATTCCTGGCCCAGCAGCCTGTGCTGTGGTCTTCTTCCTAAGCGTGCAAGTCACACCCCCAGGATCCGTAGATGCGCATCTGCCCTGTGCCCCACTCCTGGACGCGTAAAATGCATGCGAGGCTTTCTCACCTGTATACTGTAAAAGTACATGCTTCTCTGCATAAATATGGCCCTTGACGTGCATAAAACATACCAGCAACGATGGCAGTTCTTTATGTACCAATACTATTGTATGGTTTTCCAGGCGTTGATGTCTTATATGTGATCTCCTTTGATCCTCAGATTATTTATAGGGTAGATGGTATCATCCTTCCCATTTTATAGATGAGGAAACCGAGGTGCAAAGAACTGAAATCACGCCCAAGGTCATGGACATATGTTGTAAGTGGGTGGAAAATCCTACTCCTAATAATACCTATTACTTGTATCGCATTAACAGCTTTCTATTCATTATCTCATTTAATCTTGACAGCAGTCCTGTGAGGTATTACCTGTGTTTTGCAATGGAGACTCTAGATGGGCTACATGACTAGCCCAAGGTCATTCTCGGGAGCCAGTCTTCCCACCTAGGTCTTCAAACTGTCCATTCATTGTTCTTTGACTTTACAGGGAAATGGTGTCTTGTTGTAAATACCACTTCCTTCTCTGGAGAGTCTTTCTCCAGAACCGTTAGCTCTCCCTTTCTTTTCCAGGGGCTTACCATGCTCACCTGAGTAAGTGGCCTGCCTGGCACCTCTAGCCTTTAGGAGACTAGGCTTGTCTGAGGATGATTGATGATGATTTGTGAAAACACACCCTAGATATGACAGATACCTTAGTCCTCATAGTTCCCTTCCTGCTGGTCAGCCCCCTCTCGTCCTGGTCAGTGTCCACTACTACACTTTCATACAGCTGCCAGGATGCCATTTCTGCCCTTAGTAGAAAACACCCCCAGAGGAGACATACTTCTAAAAGAACCTTCGTTCTCACTTAATCTTCCCAACAACCTTGTGAGCAAAGTGAGGACATTCCTCGTTTCACAAATAGTGAAATTTAGGATGATAATGGAGCCCCAAACTCACGCAGCCAATGAAGATGGAACTGGGGTTTGAGTCTGGCTGTCTAGGGCCTTTTTTGCTGTGCTGCTTTCTTTGGGGGCACACATGGGCTGTGTTCTAGTCACGTCTTAGCCCCTTCACCTGACATGCTTCAGGGCTGAGCATGCCTGCCTGACTTAGGAGAAACTCATTTCATGTGTAGGTGTACATATTTCGTAGATTGTATTATTTTAACTTGATTTATTATTGTTTTCCAGAGAAGATATGGGGGAGCCACAGACTGGTTTTCAAAAGGAAGTATAATAATTTGGCTATTGTGTTGAATTAACTAATGTTTATTTAGCACTTACTATATGTCAGATACCCAGCAATAATGGGAACTTTCTTCTACAGGGAAGGGAGGAAGAAAAACCTACACTGAGATCTTAGTCCACTAGTCACTGTTTTGTGGCAAAATCGATTAGGTCCTCTATTTATTGGCTTCCTCCAGTTTATCCCTTCCTCTCCTTGATCTCCCTTCAGGGGGATCTCCTTGATGTTCCTGTCACTCATGGCCATGTCTTGTCAGAGCTTAGCTTCCCCTTTCATACTGTGAATGTTTGCACTGTTGTCAGGTCATCATCATCTGTTGTTTAAGGTGCTGTCCCGAAGTGCTTCAGAGGATTCCCAGACGCACTCTGTGGTCAAGCCTGGGAATGTTCTGATCTGGCGTCAAGGGGACCAGTTAGCTCTTTTAGGAGAAAGCACTCAGTTTACTATCAGTTATAGTAGGAACAGTAGAGTAGGGCTGACTGGAGCATGAAGGAAACAGGCGAGCTTCACGTTGCATCCAGCACTGCCCCTCAAAGGGAGGAACTGTGTGACATGAATAGGAAGGTGATCTGTGCTGTGAGTAGTTGGGCAAGAATAGAAATAAACCCATTTATGTGTATGAGTCGGAAACCCCGAGAAAATAGATGGACGGCATGCCCTTCAGTTTTCTTGTCTGGAGAAATGGATTTGAAAAATGTTCTGATGTAAGAAGTGATTGTGGAGCATTGAGTCCAAACAGAAGAGGAATGGATGATGCCGAGAGAAATTAGTTCATTGTCTGGAAGAAGAGGAGGAGGGCTCTTTATGTTATCTTTTCTCATAAGCTGGTTGTTGCAAGTAGACAGAAAGAAGACAGGGTCTGGCATCAGATAAACCTCAGTTCTGGTCTCAGTTCTGCTGTTAATAGCTTCATGACTGTGGATAAGTTATTTCAAGCCTCTAAGTCCCAGTTGCCTTGTCTGAAAAGGAGGGATTAAAACATTCTTTTTATTTATTGTGTGGATTAGATTCATTGAAATGCAATGCCAAGCACTGAGCATCGTGTCTATGAGGTCTTCCCTGTTAAGTTATGAGGAGTTAATAGTCTGGGTCTTTGATGAGGTGGTGTGGCCAGAGGACAGGCTCTAGAGCCAGACTCCCTGGGTGCTGATCTTCAGTTTACAATGTATGTGGCCAAGTCCGTGTTGCTTAACTTTGCTGTGCTCTCTCTGTCAAATGAGAAGAGTAGCCTCCCACCCTAGGGCTTTGGTCAGGACTGAATGGGTTCTGTGTCTAAAGCACTTAGAACAGGGCTGCTGCTGAAGGAGTCCAGGGCTGTTGGCCTTCAACAAGGCATGTGGCACTGAAGTGATGTAACACAGTTAAGACACTTGGGGACCTTTCCCACTCCTCATCTTAACCTTTGCACCTCCAGTGGCATCATCATCATGGTGTATCTCCTGCCGCTTTCAGAGCAGCCAATAGCTTTGTGACTCCAGAATACACCCAGTTTCTACTGTAGTGCAGAAATTCATTTCCAAGCATTCTTGCTTCATTCGCTGGCCCTTATTATCCTAGAGAGAGAAATCTCGATCCCAGAAAGAAAAAAACTTGTCTGTTTGTCAAGGGTAAGTTGCTTCAGAATAGGAAGATAATTCTTTAAATTAAGAGTAGCTGTTTCTTGTGTGGTGATATTGCATGCCTTTAATCCCAGCACTTGGGTGGCAGAGGCAGGTGGATCTCCACTTTGGAGGCCAGCCTTGTCTACAGAGCAAGGTCCAGGATAACACCAGGGCTACACAGAGAACCCCTGTCTCAAAAAAGAAAAGAAAAGAACAACAAAATCACAATGTTACAATGAACCTCAGAGCCCATGTCAGTGAAGCTAATGATGGTAAAGAGCCTCTCTACTAACCCTGGTGTCAGAAAAGACGTGAAGGAAGACCGAGAGCTTTGGTAGTCTAAGCTATAGCAACACATCTCAAAATAAACAGTTCACTCTGTAACTAAAGGAAGAGGACTTAGGGCTCCACAGTTGCAAAGGAAGTAGTACAGTGCTCCTAAAAATAAAACCAAACCTGTCACTTAATAGGTGAGGAAACTGACTTGATCAACTGTGACTGATAAAGCCAGAGATGACATGCAAGCCACAGAGGCCACCTGGGCATGTCACTGTCCCACCATCTCCAGCAGGATTCCATTTGGGAAGTATGGCACATTGATGGTCAGATGAATGATGAAAAAGTTACTTAAGATACTGTCACTTAAGTAGGTCTCCAAGAGTTAGTTACGGGACAGGAAGACTGTTGGTAGTCTTGAGCTCATCATTATATGCTTGAAGAATGTGACTAGGGGAAAACTAACAAGGAAACAGTTCTAGAAATGCAGCCTCTGCATTTGAATGGGGATTTAAATATCCTGAACCATGTAGAAGGATGTTTTGCTTTCCATTTTTGAGGCTGAGCCTTTACTTTGAGCTTGCCCTAGGTTTTTGCATAGAGATATCCTTGTTACACATTGTACTTATTTCCAAATTGTTTTACAGTCTGTTTTGACTCCTAAGAAGTAGTCTTTGAGTGTACTTGTAGACATCACCAAATTCTCTAGTAGGTCAGCATTTAGCCAGATACTAGAGCAGAGACCATGCAGTAACAACAGTAGTGGCCATTTAATGCCTACCTACCATGTGCAAGGTGCCAGCTGTACCATGTAAAAGAATAAGGAAACCTTATGGATTGTCAAGTGCAGTATGACCAGGATTGCCCTTAATGAGCAGTATCTGATGGCTGAGTTTTCTTGGGGGGGCCTCTCATAGGTAATAAAACCTGCAGACATGAGTCTGGTGTGTCACCGAGAGGTTCTTGTTTGCCTGCCTGGTCTTTAAGTTGAACAGTGATTTTACTCTTTGATTTATATTCAACTTGCTCCTGTTCTGGAAATGAATGTTAGTTGGCTAACAGCTCTAGAGAGGCACGTGTTCCCATCATTTGAGCTTTAGAAAGGGGAGGAAGGCGACAAGATTGAAAAGCTCAAGGCCAGCCTGGGACATTCAGAAAGCCCTGTCTCAAAACATTACAAGTATTTAAGAAGCATTGGAAGGAGAGGTAGGAGAGTATGTTAGGTCTGATCTAGCTTGGGTAAGTGAAGCCAGCCTTCACTTCAGCATCTGCTGGGTACAGTGGTCTCTGGGGTTGAGTTTCTAAATAGCTTGATCCATTGAGAGTTTAATGGATCACTAATTGGAAAATACACTAGTGCCCCCCATGCTAGTATATTTTCCAGTTAAATTAAGCTTTCATGCTGGCTATATGGGACCTTTGAGAACTTCTGTTATTTTTTAAAATACTGTTTTTATTATTACTTTAAATTTATTATTTGAAATTATTATTTTCGATCAAACTTGCTATGAAAAAGCAACAGAAAAGTGAAAAATTAGCCCTTGGTACTATTCTAAATTCTCACCTAAAAAAATAATTCTATGTAGGAAACACTTAGAAGATATTTTTGTAACTTACTGAGTATCTTTCCAAATAAGAATTACTTTTTTTCCTGTCCTCTGCTTATAAATGCCAAAAAAACATTTAGGAGAAGTATTAAGTTTGAACAACTAGACACATTTATTCCAAATAATTTACAGAACTAATATTTTATGTAGAGTGGCAAAAACTGAGCCTTTTTGGTTTCTAAGTATAAATATTTTCATTTATAGGGAGCCTCTACTGAGCAGCCCTGAGAACATTAGCCTGCTGCCTCCTCATCTTTAATGTAGGCTTCCGTGACCCCGGCTCTGTGAATTCCTAAGTCTGGCCTCAGATTCATGACCTCCTCTACTCCCCCTTCTTCCCTCCCCCATTCACTTACTCTATCCTTTATTCTTAAGATTTTTATTATAAAATAACCCCAGTGCGTCACCTTTCTTTTAGTTGTACACAGTATTTTATCGGATGGATAGGATATATTCAGTAGGATATTTTGACATACACGTTTTTCAGTGTTGTATATTCAGCTCGCCTCTTACTATATTAGAAAACACTGTCGTGAATGTGCTTACATAGATGATTTTTCTCTCACTCTACATGGCTTCATTAAAATAAACTCACAGGAGGAGGAGTTCTGGGTCAGATGGGGTCAGTATTTTTGTGGCTTGTCATGTGTGCTGCCAGTCCCTTCCCTTCAGAGGTTTGTGTCCAGTGGCATTGCACTGCACCAGCTTGTGATGCTCTCCTCACACGGCCCTCTGCCTCGTCTTGCTCCGCTTGGGCTGGCCTGTGAGCTGCCCAAAATACTCTTCCAGAAGGTTGTTCCTGTTCTGTCCTGGACTTCCCCCGGTCATCTGTAGCCTATGCCATTTCCGATTTAAAGTTTTACATCTCGTCCTCGTCTCTCACATACCTGTTTCAGTTGGTCTGATCCATTTGTGAGTCGCCTCTTTGAGGTTTCCTTAAATGACCCTTATCTCTCTCTTTTTTTTTTTTTTTTTTTGGTTTTCCGAGACAGGGTTTCTCTTGTGTAGTTTTGCGCCTTTCCTGGAACTCACTTGGTAGCCCAGGTTGGCCTCGAACTCACAGAGATCCGCCTGCCTCTGCCTCCCAAGTGCTAGGATTAAAGGCGTGCGCCACCACCACCCCCGGCGACCCTTATCTCTTAACCGCCTGTCTTCCCTTTGGCCATTTCTCACACTCAGACCGCCTCCCTCCAACACTTTTGTAGCTCATTCTGTTTCAAAAACTGTTTCTGCAAAGCTACAAAACAGAACTACCAAAACGATGTCTTTCACACATACTGTTCTTAACTGTGGTGGGTTGCCACTTGTGTTGGGCGAATGGACAGTGAGAAAAACAGGGAAAGCGGTAGAGAGCTCGGAGGAGTGGCTTGTTGGTTTGCCTTAGGAAGAAGAGTTCAGGTGGGCTTCAGGAGAGTGCTCCTGGTTAGAATGTGGGAGCCGAAGTCTGTGCTCGTCTTGTGACCTCCACTCTTATGCAAACAAGCCGCTTATTCTGTCCATTCTCCTTTGCTTCTGCTACAGAGTGGAGAGGACACTGTGGCCAGTCATTTCAGGGGAACCATGACACTCTCTTCCCTTCCAGTTAATTTTTTGTTAATATCATTAGCAGCAGCAGCAGCAACAGCAGCAACAACAGTATCCTAATATACACTGCTTACTACTTGTCAGGCAGTGAGACGGTGTCTTAATGTACCGTAGCTATCACAGCCCTCACAATGACCTCTTAGCTAAGCACTATTTTCACAAGAGAGCCCAGGTACAGTTTACTTGCTGAAGTCACAACTAGTTAGAGTGAGGGAGCCTCTTTGTCTTCTCTGCAGTTCTCTGATGATTTCCTCCTCCTCTCTGTCTCTCTCTCTCTCTGTCTCTCTCTTCTTTTTTTTTTTTTTTTTTTTTTTCCCCCCACTGAGACAGGGTTTCCCTGTGTAGCCCTGGCTGTCCTGGAACTCGCTCTGTAGACCAGGCTGACTTCGAACTCAGAGATCACCTGGGCCTGCCTCCCAAGTGCTGGGATTAGAGGTGTGCAGCACCACCGCTGACCTCTGATGATTTCTCAAAGCATAGAACACAGCATAGAAAAAGCTAGTGCACTGACGGGTGTTTCCAGTTTCTGTCCATCTGTGTTTGCATTCCCGTCTCCCTCTGTGTGCCATCCCCTAATGGGTCCCATTTCTCTCTCAGAGCTGCCAGCTTCCTGAATGTATGGTTCACATCTCTACAGCTAACACCTGTTTATCCCTCCAAGTCCGGCTCAGTTATCCAGGGCCGTGTGCTGCGTCCACCTCCTCTTGGGTGGCCGCTGCCTTCATTCCCTCTTCTCACCTGTATTTCCGCCATGGTCTTTTCATGCAGCTCTACACTTATTTTTTTATATTATTACATCAGTCTTACTTGAATAAGAATATTGAGATGAGTATTGAGATGAGAAAGCACTATTTCATAAGAAAATTAGTGTATATATATATATGTATATATATATACATATATATATTTGTTTGAAAATCTTTAAAATGTATTATTAAAATGACAATGTCTCCTTTCTCTCCCCCTCAGCATAGGGCTACTTTCAAATTTGAATCAACAGATGAAGATAAAAGAAAGGTAAGGTTTGGTGTGTGTGTGTGTGTGTGTGTGTGTGTGTGTATGTGTGTGTGTGTGAGAGAGAGAGAGAGAGAGAGAGAGAGAGAGAGAGAGAGAGAGAGAGAGAGACTGACTGACTGACTCCTGGGTGTTTTAAGTGGTGGACTTGTTTTCATCTGATGGTTGTTGATTAGTTTTTGGTTTCACTTCAATTTCTCAGGAATCCTGAGAAGACAGAGGTAGCAGGTTTAGGATGGGTTACACATAACCCCTCCTGTTTGTCCCCACAGAATCCCTGGGCTTAAGTAGGGGAAAGGTTCAGGTGGGACTGTCAGTAGATTTTCTTACTGCTGAAAGGTTGCCTTCTTTTGGTGGCAGAATTCCAGGTTGGACAAAATGTCAGGCTCGTGTAAAGCTTGACTCTGATGGCTGAGTTTGGGGAAAGCACCTTTTCCTGCTGCTGTCCCCCAACCACGTCTTGGCACTGTACCTACTTACATTGTTACAGTTGTCTCGGTCACCAGCACATAGTCACTGAGGAGAATGGAGTCAAGAGAAAGTAAAGGACTTACTACAAGAGAGGGTGCATCAGACGTGACCATTCAGTGTGTGGTTGCCTTCCTTGGTGGGTGAAGGCCTGGTGCTGAGGATAAACCTGCCCTGCCCTTTTGTTTTTCTGGGCACCATACCTCTCTCCCAGCCTCACAGATTCCAGTGTCAGACAAGACTATGGCTGAGTCCGTATGCATCTCTTGCTGATGGAGGAGTGGCTCAGATGCTGGAGTGTATTGATTACCTTACATGTATCCATTTAGTTCTCTACATTCCATATCTCATATCAATGCCTGCCTCTCCACCTCCTAAGATTGATTCTCCTAATTCAAACTTTCATCTGGATCATCACATTAGTTTTTTTTTTTTGTTGTTGTTGTTGTTGTTGTTATTGTTTGTTTTTGTTTTTGGTGTTGTTTTTGGGACAGGTTTCCCTGTGCAGCCCTGGCTGTCCTGGAACTCACTCTGTAGACCAGACTGGCCTTGAACTCAGAGATTCACCTGCCTCTGCCTTGAGTGCTGCAGTAACCTGCCTGGCACTCCATTAGTTCTTGCTCTGTCCTTTCGCTTTCTGGTGACCTGTGGGTCTCGCTGCTTGTCCATAAATCTCAGACAGCAATCTGGCCATGTCATTTTCAGCCTTAAGATCTTGCAGTGACTGCCTACGCTGACAGAATGACATAATAGTATCAGTGATCTGATCTTTGCCTACTTTTGCAGCCTGATTTTTCTGTTTCCCTTATATTTGTATTCTAGTATTAAATGTTCATAGCTACACATACAGACACATTATTTCTTCCCTTCTACATTGCTAGTTTTCCTCTTCTTATCTGTTAACTCCTCCATGATAGACTCTGAGGACCCATCACAGCTGCAGTTGTGAATGCACGGAAAACACTCAGGAAGTCATCTACTAAATGAGTGCCTTGGGTGCAAAGAGGACTGCTTTTGGATTTGGACAGAGTTAATAAGACAAACGATACCTTTTGCAGTAGAGATTTATGGAATGAATATGCTTTTTGGATAGCTTTAGAATTGGCCTTCTTAGGAACAGTCAGAAGCTGGGAAGTGGGCAGCAAGCGTGTGTGTATCCTAGACAATCTTCAGGAACTAAGTCTTCCTACAGAGTGGCACAGTGTCTGTGGAGGAGAAACTGGTAGGTGGTTATTTAATTAAGATGCTTTTTGCCCTTTGACCAAAAAAATACATCACTTTTGGAGACCTGTCTTATGTTCAGATTGAACCCAAGTGAACAAAATTTTTTCATTAAAACATACACAAACAGAAAAGATTGGAACCAGCCAGTTAAAGGATACTGGGAAGAAACAATGGCCATTGACAGAATGCTATGAAGTAGTAACAAGAAAAACTGAAAAAGAACAAAGTAAGGTATTTAAACAGAGCATATTGGATGTTAGACTCAAGATAGAATTTCAAGTTAGGAAGGCAGCTACTATTTTTTGATTGGGAGAACCCATCTTGCATTTGCTTTTACTCATCATAATAAGTACATTAAGAGCAGGAGAGATCACCTGGTCAATAAAGTGTTTGCCTCACAATCAGGACTCAAGTTCAGTCCATAGACCCAATGGACAAGTGCCAGGAGCAGTGATACATGCTTGTAATCTCCACGCTGGAAAGAGAGAGATGAAAGGATCCCTGGAATACATACACACACACATACACACACACACACACACACACACACACACACACACACCATAGAAACCACACGTAGATGGAAGGATCCCTGGAACACACACACACACAGATGGAAGGATCCCTGGAATACACATACACACCTGCACATACATACATGCATATACACATATGCATAAAAATCTAAATACAGTTGCTTTACCCCGTAGAAATATTAGTTGAGAAGGGAATTTTCCTAAATTAATTATACATGTTGTTTGTTTTCTGTGGAATAGTAGAAAAACCTGACATTTTCTAACTGTTCTTCCCATTTGCTGTCTACATGAGTTTGATTCCAGATACTCAAGTTCCTCACCTTTCTAGTATTTGCATATAAGTATACATCGTACCATATACTTAAATCATCGCTAGATGCGTGTTAGGGTGTGAATGCTTTGTAAAGTTGTAGTGCGTTGTGAATAATGATGAAAGTCCCTATATGTTCCGTGCAGAGACAGTTTTTTTCCTAAGAGTTTTGGTCCAGAGGTTGTTTGAATCTGTTGGTGTGGAGATTGCGCTCTGCTACTTTTAGATCTCTGGAGAGTGACTTGTGCACTGGTGTTGACTGCAGTTTGTGTGGAGGTTTCTGCTTCCTGGGAGGTCTGTTATAAACAAGTGTCATTAGGGACCTAGCTAGGTGATCTTCATTAATGGAAAACATTGGCAAACAAATCCATCTCAGTCTCCAATGGTTCGAACCATTAGTGACTCTGATGCCTACGGTGCCTTGTAGACACTGGCAGGCAAACTGTGGGACAGCTCCAGTGCCAGCAGCGTTAGAAGGTCTCTGTGGAAACGGTAGTAGGACTTCACTACACTGAGCCCAATGTGAAAACACAAGGAATCGAGTTACTGTGGAGTCTCTGTCCTTGTACTGTCCTAAGTGTGCGTCTAGAGCAGTGGTTCTCAACCTGGGGGTCTCGACCCCTTGGGGATCGCATATCAGATATTTACATTATGATTCATAACAGCAGCAAAAATTCAGTAATGAAGTAGCAATGAAATAGTTTGATGTTTGTGAGTCACCATAGCATGAGGAACTGCGTTAAAGGGTTGCAGCATTAGAAAGGGTTGGAAGCCCCACTCTAGAGCCTTCTGTCAGTACCTACTTGGTCACAAAATCCAAGACCTCCCCTCCTTTCATAAAGTACAGTGCTGTGCCAAAAACATCAGCTGAAAATGCATCCACAGTGATACCTTCCTTATACTAAAAAGGAAATTTGGTGACAACCTAGAATAGTGTAAGGGGCAGTATCCTTCAAACAAAACAAAACACCTTCATTGTACTGACTCTGCGTGTGATGACAAATGAGTGCGCTCTAGATCTGGTTCCCGACACACCGTCGTGGTGTTCAGTTTTACAGAGATTTACTTCCCCCACCAGTGCGTGAAGTATGGAGACGGTTGCAGTGAGCCCTGAGGTTTATGCTCACACTGCTGGCCGGAGTGTGGTGAAGCCTCGTGTGGAAGGGCTTCTCCAGCATGTGGGTTCTCAGTGCCCACTGCTCTGTGGCTCTGTCCCATTCTTTACCTTTGGAAGTCTAGTTCAGAGGACTTGAAATTATGATCTGATACCTTGTCTTGTCTCCTGTCTCATCACTGTTGAGCATCAGGCTGCAGTGGGGAGCCACACAGGGAACCAGCAGATGGAAATGGGTGTGTTTTTCTTAAGGAATAGTCAGATGTGGTTCTCCTGCCTGTGTATCCGATGCACACTGTGACAGGTGCGTGTGAGTCGTTGTGGGTTTGGATGGAAGCACCTGCACTTGCTTTACATCCTCACCTGAAATGACGGCTGTGATTACCTGTCACACATAAACAAATGTGTCACGCAAATATGTGAGATGGGGAAGGGAAATGAGGAATAATCTAGAAACCCACGCCGGGACGGTGAAAGCTCTTCCTTTGGTTTTAACACAAAACGTCCCTCACACACCAGTAGAGAGTATTGCAGTAACAGTTGAAAAAGGTATGTCACAAAATGAATAGGGCTGGATGACAGCTCGGAGACACAGTTGGCCTAGCGTGTGTGAGGCTCCCAGTTCAGTCCTCAGTACCGGGGGTGAGGGGAGTAAAACGCTTGCAGCTCCTTAACTAAGAACACAGATTATCAACTGTGGAGCAGCTTCAGGTGTCTAAGATAACTGTGTAGAAGGAGTGTTACCATACCCAAACCTCAAGCGTATTCATCTTTTCTCTTAAGCCGTCGGGGAGTTGCTAAACTAAAATTGTGAGCTCTAGGACACAAGAAGCCTGAGTTACTTGTGTTCTCAGCTCCCACCACCGTAGGTGGGAACTGCAGTGATGGGTGTGGTGGTGCACGCCTTTGATCCCAGCAGTGATTTCGAGGCCAGCCTGGTCTACAGAGCAAGTTCCAGGACAGCCAGGGCTCCACAGAGAAACCCTGTCTCAAAAAACAAACAAACAAAACGACAACAAAGAGATGAGGGAAAGGAGCCTGGAGGCCGAGTGGAGGCCAGAGCTGCTGTGATTAGGGCTTGCGGTGTGGTTTTGTTCTCTCCCTTCTCTTAGTTACACGTCAGGGTTGCAAACACGGCTCCCGATGTTGTTCACTGAGGGAGCAAGGTAATGTGTCTGAAGAGTGGTCAGAGCTGTAGCTGTGATCAAAACTACACAGAAAAATGCAACAAGGAAATTCACTAACATTGCTACTTGAATATTACTGCTGTGAAATAGCTTCTTTTGTAAACTTTTGGATTACAATAGATTGCATTTATTTAAGAACATAATTATATAATGGCACAGTATAA